CTGGCACGTGCGACGTGCTCCCACCCCTGGAGAATAGGTCTTCAGCCCGCCGCATCCGCTACGGCTACGCCATCCTGACCGCCAACGATTGTGGCGCCTCGAACCACTCGACCCGCTTCTTCAAGGTGCTAGCCATGGGCCTTGTCAGCAACGTCAACGACCAGGAGAATCTGCAGTGCGATCTCCACACGCTCACATCCGACGAGCCGAGCTGGACGACGCACACGGAGTGCTTCATGGGAGCCATCGATCTTTGCTGGCGGCACTGGAAAGACGCGGTAGTGTGCGACGGCGTGGTGAGCTGGCTCTATGCGTCCATGTCCTACAATGACAACATTGGTCATCTCCAGTTTTCCACCGTTGACGTGAGTGCCAAGAACGGGCGCCTCACCTTGACAAAGCTCTTGTTCCCACCGCCGATGATTCTACCTACAACCGGCTGTTATCGTCTAGCCGCTGTCGGTGGGACTGTCTCGTTACTCTGCTACTACATTAAACACGGAGAAAAACACTTCTGCCAAGAAACCTGGAAACAAGGCGACGACATTGGAGGAGACTGGCCCTGCTCTAGAGCAATGAAACTGACTGGGCCGGGGGGCGAAGCGGCAGGCCCGTTATCGCCCATGGCTATGGATGACGTGCCCATGGAGATAGACTGGCCGGCATTGCTCATCTCTCGCCTAGCTCGCTACGCCCAAGTCATACCCGCCAGTGGCACCTCCATATCGTGACATGCTTCCAGTTTTTTCTTTTCTTTTGAAAGGTGCTTCCAGCTGTTTTGTTTGGACGTGTAGCTGATTGTATACGGTCTGGCATTATGTTACTGCTGGTAGAGGATCTTCTATCTGTTCTATTTCATTACTACTATTAAAGGGCAGTGTGATGTCGCCGTGATGTGTTCCGTTTAACACGTGTGGTCCTGTATATGACGCCTGCGTGCGTCAAACAGCTGCACCTTTGCACGTGCGCGATCCGACTCGGCAGGCCCATTTAGTGAAACACTGTCGAGAGACGTGCACTGTAGCGGCATGGTACTGTATCAAACCGAAAACTGTTACGCCCGCTTCACTGTAGCGAACCGGTTTTAAATAGGTTTAAATAGGGTGTAAGCGCCAGGGTTGATGAAGGGCGCCGGAGGAGTGAGATGTTCCTATTGTTGCGAGTGTCGGCTGGTGCAGGAGCAGCAGGGCGCTGTGCGGGCTAAGGGACCAAGCATGGGGCAAGGGGAGCAGGGGGCACCGGCGAGAAAACCCATCGCGGACGGTTGGAGAAAAACATTTAGAGAGGCGGCGGTCCCCTTGGAGAAGAGCCGAGCGAGTGCGTGCGAAGGTGAGGCCGGCCGGATTAATGGTGGGAGCGGCGAAGCAATTGTCGAACTCATCGTTCAACCCATTGATAAAGGCGAGGAGCATCTCTTGGTCGCTGCAGCGCGTCAGCCATGCAGTCGAGCTGGCTGGAACGCCATGACAGAGAGGCAGGGGCGGGTCCTTGGTATCCAGATGAATACCAAAGATCTGTTGATGTGTGTGTACACTGTAGCTACAATTTGTTGTATATTGCTGGTATTCATGACAAAAATAATACAATGAGTATCAAGGAGCTGATTCCTGTTGCTACCACCGCAGAAAGATAGCCCCGTTGAAGGTTGGCGAAGATTTGGAGCTGTGGCGACAATTGTCGAGGAAGAGGTTGTTGATCAGCGTCCATGCTTGCTCGGCGGAATCTCCAGGTTGGATGATGATCTCCAGGTTGTCCTTGGAGACAGAGGGGTGGAGCCAGGACACAATACTTCAATTGATCTGCGTTCAGTCAACAACACCGACAATCATCTACGCGTCGACGATGTTATGATGTGATCAGTGAGGCCAAGCTTGACGAAAAAGGGTGTATTGTGTACCTATCCAAGTAATAAAAAACGTCTTATACTATCATGTTACCGAGGGAGTACATCTCAACTAATCTTTAGATCCGATCACGGTTTAAACAAGCTACAGAATCTACTATACAAAGTTCTAACAGTGAAGAGATAGGATTGTTAGGGAGAAACGCATGTGATATGGAGCCCATCGTTATCTTCTCTGACACATGCTGTGTAGATATACGCACGTTACCATATTCAAAAGTTCTAACCGTGAAAGAACAATCCTCGTCGAGGTTGTCTTGTACTTACGTTTTTCGATAAAGGGTGAATTTTATTGTGTCAAAATGAAGCATTAAGGGGATACAAATACAATAAGCACACACCCGGCTTCTGCATATCTAGGATGCACACAACCAGCACCAACACACGCACATAAGAACACGCCGGCAATAGGAAAGTCATTTAAGACCAAAGCTATGCACAGGCAAGGAAAAAAGAAAAACCCAAAGCGATCTGATCTGCAATTGGCAAGCTACAACAATGACCATATCTGCACCAATTGTTTTTTGACATCACACAGACGACGATGTTCTTCAACAGCAACGCCTTCAGGAAGGGAGTGACGCTTAAGCGCCGTGGTCACCGGATCCACCATCCACGGTTAGAATCTAGGTTTTCACCCTGAAGAACAGTCTGAGCATATCCGAGCAATGCCTTCAACAAGGTAACGACATAGAAACATCGCCATTGCCAGGTATAGCCAACTTGGGCAGACCTAGGCTTTCACCACGGAGCTCGAGACCGGTTGCTCAAATAGCAACACAATCAAAGTAACATGTGTATTGTCTCCACCACTTTTTCATGATCCCAGCAGCTACATGCACCGCTGCCGCTGCACAACCATTCCTCTGCATCAAGCCGCCATCCATAGATTGCATCTGACTATCGAAGTCAACGAACGGATCTTGGAGAGAGAAACCCTCACCAAAACCTTCCGATGGCCACTGCAATCCGCAGCAAGGCCGCCCCGCAGGCGGGTTGGTTAATAAGAACCAACACCGATGATGGAACACACCGCCACCGACTACCAGCTCGCCGGAGAGAGCTCTACTCAGGCTCGTCATCCCTCAAGCTTGCACAGCCCCGAGCCGACATTTCCAGAGCTAGAGCACAAAAGACAGATCACCTTCGCCGAGGCGCACTCGCCGAGCCCAATCACCGCCAGATCAGGATTGCACAACCGCCTGCAAGGCCGCACCATGTGAATCCCCTAGATCTAGAAAGTCGAGCAACACTCGATCCAGCACAAAGCCTCGAGACAATCCGCAAAAGCACCTCATCACAGCCGACGCACGTCACACGCCCGAACGCCGATGCATGTGCCGCAACCCCACTCTAGGGCCGGGCCCACCGAAAGGAGGCCATTAGACTAGCAGCCGCAAGGTGCCTAGTTTAGGGCGCTCCCACCATCGCACACGGACAGAAAAGCCTGCTGTTGTGCCCTCTGTCAGGTCGTCCATGTCGGATTCGAGGCTGCCAGATCTCGTCAAGGCTCAACGCCAAGATGCAACTGAAGCCACCGCAAGCCAGCAGGACAACCATCAGTCGGCGTCCCCGTCGCTGCCCACACAGCCGAAGTGGAGCGCCGCCGCTCACAGTCATGCTGGCAAGAGCGCCTTCATGACCGTGTCCGAGGCCGCCGCCCCGAGTCCCACCACCGCCACCAGGACGACGCACGGGTGCCCCTCCCCCTTTGAGGCAGGGCCCGCCGCCACCATGGCCAACGTCGGCGGCAGCGGCGGCTGGGCAGGCACGAATCACGCCCTCCTTTGGTGGCTAGGGTTTGACGCCCGGGTGCCACCAGGGAGCGCCATGGGAGCGAAGCGTTTTTTGGATAGAAGAAAAGGAAACGGAAAACGTCGAGGTAGCCTTGTATTTCGTGACCTGTGAGGCGAGGCCACGGTGGCGTTGTATTTCGTGAGAAAGACATGACTAAGTTGACTTAATCCAATGTTTGTCAGGCTTTGATCGAACGGCTGGGGACCCGACTGATTTCCCAGATTTGTAGCAGCCGCCTACTATATACCCACGTACTCCTACTACCTTACCTGTCCATCAATCGATCAATCGCATTACCCCTGCCGGGATCCCACATTGCTCCCGAACGACGTGCTCCTCCAGGTCCTGGCGCGCGTGGCCATGGCGGACGTCGCCGCGCTATTCCGGTGCGCCGCGGCATGCAAGCGGTGGTGCGGCCCTGTCATCCACCGCTCCTTCCTCCGCCGCCACTGGCCAAAGGACGCGACCCACTCGTCTGCCCTCATCGGCTTCTTTACCCAGCAACGGTGCGCTCAAGGAAATCGGGACTCTAGGTACAAGGACTTGGCCGACCCGTGCGTGCCACCGGTGTTCGTCCCCGTACCGTGGTCCGTGCTCGGCCCCAGCCGCCGGTTCCTCACGTCCTTGGTCCGTGGTGCCGCGGTCGGCCTTTTGGACGGCGCGAAGCCGCTCGCAGCCCGTGGGTGCTTCCTCCTCTTGCGCCTGGGCCTGGTCACGTACGGCCGTGCCGACAACATCTGCCTGGCCGTGTGCGACCTGCACTATGGCACGTGCGACGTTCTCCCCCTGCTGGAGAACATGTCGTCGGCCAGCATGAACTACGCCGTCGTGACCAGCGAGGACTACGGCTCCTCGAGCAGCCTCTTCATGGTTCTAGCCATGAGCATCAATGTCTACTTCTCTGCACTTGCTTTGCCATTTTTGTAAACATTTCTGAAGCAACAATTCTATAAATACACTCTGTGTGAAGAAATTTCTACTGCTCTGCACAAAAGAAGAGGATAAGCTCCATAGTTTGATAGTCGTTTGAATATACCCGTTTCACAAAAGAAAGGAAAAAGAGCTCCTTACAACAATTACGCACTTAGCTAATTGAAGCTTAATAAAAGTGATTCCTGAGGGAACTTTATTATTCAAAGAAACATAATAGGTGACGACAAAGCACCCGCACATACATTACAAGCGGATCCAAGACCACTGATAACAGGAGATCCCTATCCGCTAACCATCTTATTTTTCATGTTGGAAACATAACCAAATTAAACGACATATGACTAAAATGAAACCTCTTTCTTGCCAACTAGGTGATGTAAACACCAAGTGCATTCAGGAACGTTTTATCAGTACGCCCAAAGAAGCCAACAATTGCTTTGCCATTTGGCGCCATGACGCTGAAAGGGGTACCAAGTTTTTTGTTTGCACTATTTCCATAAGGTCCGTATGTTTTCTGCTTGTTGGTGACAAACTTGAGTGTTTGGACACATTGGACATTACTATGTACGGTAACTGTTCCGGACACTTGCGTAATAATCTCCCCAGGGCCCAGCACGATCTGCACATGAATACAAAAAATTCTCACAGACTAATATGTATATTTTTTCCAGTGAAACAATAATGACATGTACAACTTTTCCAAGATCCTAAACAACTACATTACTCTACACAAACAGCTAGTGCACACATGCAATTGAAGTGTTCTTTTATAATTTGCACGTGAATGAATGTAAATTAAACCCGACTGGGTATGCAAATAATCACACCTCTGCGCGCCTTGGATTCTCACTACCCCAAGGACCTGCGGTGCACCTCTTGCCATTTTGGTTGATGTAAGAATATTGAATTGAACCAATTACTCCTTCATGTAGGATGGTGATACTTTCTATCTTCAAGGGGTTGTCTGAATCAACAACGGAACCCCCATTGCCACCCCATGGGCTACTCTTTGTGAGGGTGATCTGCATGTGCACAAATAACGGAGCAAGAAAAGATTGATGAGTAAATATTCAAAGAAATAACTAAAAACACCAGAAATCTGAACACCCTTCCCTGCTCACCTGCTTGCGGCAAAAACCATGAATGGTAAGCTCGATTATGTCTCCATCATCTATTTTCTGATGCAGCTTTTTGGTTACAACACCACGTGCCATCGCGAATTCACCTGTCCCACCGACAATAGACCACTCACCTTCTTCATCAACAGATGCTCCCATTACCTGAAGCGTGCTTTTCTTAAACCTGTGTAAAAGCTAGCAGTTAAATATAAAATATGCGCACTAATCTGACAGCATGAGAAGCTAGCTGACATGTCAAGCCTTTTAGGTGCTTAATTACAATTCTCATGAAAATAAATCTGAATATCCAGTAAACTCTAGGTTGTGTTCCTCACACACACAAAACCCTAGCAAGTGACAAAAAATGACACAATATATTGTGCGGCATAAGTACATAGTACGAAACAAAAGATTGTAACATGTACACATACCCCTCAATCTCGAACAGAATGTTGAAGGTATTGTGCCAGGTACCAGCGTAGAGATGCAGCCCTTGTGCGCGGGCCACTAGCTTCGCGTTGGGGCCAACCCCATCATATTATTGTCCAGTTGTGAACGGTTGTCTGGCCCCACCCAGTCTTTGCATCTGCACTTGTAATGTCTAATTGGTTTGGGCTCGGTCCCGAATAAATGTGGTGCCAGTACAACCTACTGAACTTAGATTCGGTGTTCTCTACGGACCCACCAAATGGAGTAGCATCGATATTTGGGTGAGTGGCCATGGTCGACTCAACTCGTGGGAATGGGAGCAATGCTAAGTGGAGTACATCAGTGAGATTCTTTCAGTAGAGCCAGACTGAATATGTGTGCTGTGGAAAACAGAAGCTGGCGAGTGTGGGTATTTATAGGCCAGCTGAAGCACATTGACCGAGTAGATATAGACGTACGCAGACCATATTCTATTTATTCTTGGGCATCGCCTTGTGCAGTGAGTGTATTTCAACATAACGCCATGTGCACGACGAGCTGTTTTGCCACCTAGGAGAGGCACATGGCTAATTAATGGTTCTCACCACAGACCACATTGCTAATGTGATGTACTTCTTTCTTTTAGGGGAAGCTGAGATTTCATTGATTAAACGGCATAACATCTGCTGAGAGAGATCTACAGCAGTTACACACAAGACGAGTGATTATCGGACATGCAGTTTTTTTCGCCACTGTGAGCAAAATTATTTCAAGTTTGCAATTTTTCCAAGCAAAGACGATATAAAAGCTAGTGAAAAAACTCGAATGTTGCTCAAGTCCTCCCTGTGTCTTCTTGGGGCACTCTTGTTCGGTAGCTAGTGTCTTTGGCTTGTTTAATGTTAAGGGCGGCAGCCTGTGTTCTAAGTGGTTTGCTTGATGTGTTGGTCGCGTCATTGCTGCTTTCATGAGTGCCTTACTGTGTTCTAGCTTTCACTCGGGGGAGAAGCTCCCTTCTGTCAAAGGTGCGTCACAGGCGAGTTCATTTCAGGTGGCGTGACCCCCATCAACTCCCTGCTAGGTCCCCCAGCTGTAGGCTTTTCTTCCCTGTTTGTAGCATTTTAGCTTGCCTTCAAGCTTTAGCGCCTTGTATCAACCACTATGGGGTTGCATCCGCGTTATATTTTCCTTCTTTGGTTGTATGTTCTGTTTGGTTGTAATGGTGACCGGTTGATCTCTTTGCTAATTCAAAGTCACACGAGGATCAAACCTTTTTCTCAAGTTCGTCTGGAGCCTTGTCTCCAAAAAACCTCGGAAGTTCCTTTAGGACGCATGCAGACCGTAGGTGATCTCTCCTACTAATTCCATTTAAAGACCACTGGTCGCAATGATGTACTATTTATGTTTTGGGACGTAACTTGTAAATAGAAGCCAAAACTAGGCTGCGAAAGGAAATGGAGCTCAATTTTTTCCTGAAAGACCTAAGACCATATATTAAGTATCACATATCCTTATAAATCCACCCATACCAAAAAAACAATTATAGAAATTCTTGGAGTGTCGAAGTCTTCTCTTGCGTCTGACGGCGGCGCATTATGAGCATAGCTCGTTGCCGTCTTTGGAGCTCCGTCAGGGAAGGGTACCAAAAACTTTGAAGACCATTAGTGAAGGTAAAATACAGACGAATCGACTAGAGACCAAAACCTACCGGATCCCGAAAGACATCCTGGAGACACATCTCTACACGTCCTCTGACAACAATAAACACACCAATGGAACAAGGATAGGGCGGGGAGTACATTATTCCTACACAGCGACAGCATTGTCGTCTCTCCGCCGAAAGCCAAACAAATAGACTCGCTAAAGAAAACGTGAACCAAGACGCCTACTCCGTTGCATGTCAGATCTGGGTCTGAGGTCGAACTTGCCTCCTACAGGACCATGCTCCGGCACCCTCTTCTCTTGTGACCTAGGTAGGCCTGCACACCACCATAGTTCTCCATTGCGCTGGGGGCACCTTAGCAGCGCCGGCAAGCATGCCGGCTGAAGACCAGCGTAACTCGACCACTCATCCCCGATGTCGACACCAAAACAGCTCACCAACTGCAACACACGGGCATTTCATGACGATGTTCTCTGGTGGTGGCGAGAAGGGGAGGAAATAAGGTGGCGGCTAGTGTTTCAGATGTTTGACTCTGCTTCGATCGCTAAGGCAAGGAGATTAGTATGATGAAGATATCTAGCTTTTTTATGTTGCCTTACAATGAGCTCAGTTAGTGTAGCAAGCCATCAATGTCGTATGATGTGGCCGTATGCATCGTTCTGATGCGGAGGCCGGGGAGTCCCCCTTTTCGGAAAAAAATCAATGTCGTATGACAGCAACACAGGGTGACAATTAGAACTTTTTATGGATGGAAAATATACGGCTTTAGCAATGTTTCTGCAGGGTAGAAAAATATATTATAAGGCATGCATGTAACAGTCGCGCCGTTCACGGCCCGTGGAAACAAGAAAAAAATTGTACTCATTATTTTATTTATGGCTTATTCAATTTATATGAATTGATGGTTAATTCTATTTGCGCTATAATTCATTGTAGGTTTTTGAATCATTTAATGTGACGTTATATTTATTTGTAGCGTTCTGTCAAGGTTGTGATTCGTTTTGAAGGTCCTATAGCTTTTCCAAATTCATAGTTTAGATTGCCATAGGAATTTGTTTCTCTAATGGTTGTATCCAAAATAGACATATGCCTATCCTAATGCATTTTAATACTTCGGAACTTATTTGGAGATCAATTTATTTATTTCTTATGGAGGACGTATAAACAAATTTAGGGGGTGTTTGATTTAGAAGTCCTAGGACTTTTTCTAGTCCCAGGGACTAATCAAAAAAGACTCTCTAGTAGAGTCTTTTTCTAGTCCCTGTAGAAAAAGTCTCTCCCGTTTGGTTCCTAGTGACTTTTTAGGGACTTTTTTTAGTCTCTGGGACTAAAAAGTCCCTGAACCAAACACCCCCTTAGTCTTAACTACAGTACATAGACGGCTAATATTATCCATTGGCTAATTTGGAAAACTTTTATTTAGGATTGCTTTTAATAATGACTCGGACTCTCCTTGGTAGAGTTGGACCAATTTTTTGTTCTTTTCCGTGGAATCAATATGGCAACACTTATCTCGAGCTCGGTAGTTCACGCATGCCTCTGGTTGATTGAGCGGCAGAGCCGCCCGTCTAGGCCTCAAAGCCAGTGTGATGTTCCGGAGGTTTGAAACTATCATCGTATCATACAATGTGGGCTCCGGTCGATCCGGAGACACAGCATCGGCTTGGCTGGTACGCATACTTGGTGCTGGTGTGTGGAATCTGAAGTGGTGGCCATGTAAACGTCATGGTGTTGGGAAGTGCCGGCTCCATCACCTGAGCGATGTGTCCATCGGCTGGTGTCATGTGTGGCCTGAAACCGGCTTTTGGATTACTATCCGATCAAGTTATTAATATTTGGGAATCGCTAAATCTCAGTCGACTGAGATTTAGTGAAGTCTTAGTCAACATATTGTCCATTGGATTGTTTGTCTGCTTGAAGATTAGTGCGTTGCTGGTTTTTGCTTAAAACTGGCCCGTGTAGACAGGTACAGAGAGATGGGCTGCTGTTTGTCTTTGCTTTTGCTTTTTCCTATCGGGCTTGGGTTTGCTTGCGTGATGGGCTAGCGAGGGGTTGGAGCCTTTTTCGTTGTCAGTTGGCTCTTTTTCGTTTTTTGTTGCACTGCCATTTTTTGGTTGTTTTTCATTTTTCATTTACTCTTTTGTACAGTATATGTATATGTCTGATTTTATTTTTTATTTTTTCTTTTCTTCCTGTATTTTTTGTCTCTTTTTTACGTATTTTTTTGGTTTTGATATTCTTTTTTATGTAATGTGAGTTGTGTGAATGTTTATATTGCAACCTGCAATTGCATGTGGCGTAACTTGGTGCTAAAAATCAGTCGACTAAGACTTCGTGAAGTCTCAGTCGACAATCTGGCCGTTCGATGATTGTCGCTTCAAGATTCACGTAATATAATGTCTTCTACCAATTCGGCCTGTTAAGACGCGACCAACCCATTTCTTTTTTATTTTTTTGCCGCGAAAGGCTACGCGCGGATGGCCAGTGGCTGGATGGCCTTTTCCGTTGTTTTGCTTTTGTCTACAACAAGCAGGAAACTTGCTGGCGCAGCCCACTCTCGTATATACCTGTACTTTCTTTTTTCTTTTTATTTCCCTTTTCTATTTTAGTGTATATAATCATCAATTTATTTGTATTAAAATGGTTTATTTGTAATTTCTTTTTATATTTAGGCAATACGAAACATGTAAATTTTGTAGAACCGACTTTTTTTACAGCATGAAGGATTTTACGCTCACCTGTTGATGTCTTTTGTACATGGATTTTTGTTTATTTGTATGTCGCTTGTTATTTTTTTGTATATGGATTTTTTGTTTATTTGTATGTTGCTCGTTCTTTTCTGTAATTTTTTTTGTTTCATTCATGTATTACTCAGGAATATATTTTTTGTAATGTTGATATGCCCTATTTTTCCTACATCAGGTTGACAGAAAAACGGTTGCCTTTTCTTTTTTCTTTTTGTCACAAAAACTCTTGTTCCCCTTATGTACAACTAGAATTATCAGAATCCATGCAACTACGAGGGTGCTAACACGTATGCAATTGCATGCATCCAAAACTACATGCAACTCAATGGATAAAATGCGTCCGC